GAAGCCCTTTTTTTTTTTTTTGGTATTAACTGATATTTTTATAATAATGTTTAGAATCTTGAGAAATAAAAAATGATTTACACTAGAAAGCTTGTTTTGGCGGCTACTCTTTTCAATACGAGACTCATGATTGGGGAGCCTTCCCCAGGGAAAACCTAATAGTAAAACTTATTGCATTTATGTATTTTGAGATTTCGAATAGCTCCATTTAACATTTCTCTATATTTTAACTGTTACATGCTTAATTGTTCCTTCTATGACTTGTCATTAATTATTCTTGTATTGAAATATTCGTCCCTTCTATGACTCCGTAATTAATTACTACTTTCTTTAATTGTTTTACTTGTACTCCTTAATTGTCACGTACTTGAATTGTTTTATTGCTATTGTATTCTTTGTAGCATTCCTTTGATTTATACATGGTTCCTTTATTGTTTTGCTTTCATATTCTTTAATCGTAGAGATTCTTGTGAATTGAGCTGTTGGATTGATTTCATTTATTGAATTTTATGAATCGGGCTGCACGCTGCAAGGTTGTGATATGGTGGAATAAGGGATAGATTTTGATATTGATATGGTGGGAGAGGGTTGTGCGTTGCATCGGTTGTGTACGTAATACTTGATATTGATAAATTGTGATATGGTAAAATAAGGAGAGATTATGATATTGATTAAGATGATATGGCGGGATCGAGTTGCGCGCCGTAACAGATTTTATATGTGGTTCTTGATATTGATATGGTAAAATAAGGGAGGATTGTGTGTGTACGGTGGAATCGGATTGCGCACCGCAACGGATTGTGCGTGTTGTATGCATTGTCGTTATTATGTTGATTTTCAGTGTTGTTACATGAAATTATGAGATCAATTATTCCGGGTTCTCTGATTTCAAGAAGTGAGCTCTTTTTCATAAGTTAACTACCATACTTTCCTGTTTTCCTTTCCTTTTATTTCTATTATATTATATTGCGTACATGTTATTGTAAGTGACCCGCCTTAGCATCGTCACTACTTCATCGAGGTTAGGCTCGACACTTACAAAGTACATGGGGTCGGTTATACTCATACCACACTCTGCACTTCTTGTACAGATTTTGGAGTTGGTCCTAGCGGCGGTAAGTAGATTGCTCGGTTTCGGTGCTTGACGGAGATTTGAGGTACAACTGCCCAGCGTTCGCAACCCTGAAATCCCCTTCTATATTACTGTATTGGGAAAAAACTGAGTTTATATTAAAAGATGATGTGGCATGACACGTGGATTAGTTAAATAGCCAAAGCGCAGCAATTGACTAAGAGGCACGGATGGAAACAGCCACGGGAAGAAGAATTTAAATAAGCACGAGACGACGTATAGATACGAGTCTCGTACCAATTTAAATTATCTACAGCCAACGGATAGAAGGCATTGAAAGTAAAGATCTGGTGACAGAAAGGAGTCCAAATTCATTATTAAATACTTGATACGTTATGAAATCGGTATTTAATAGGAATGATTGTATAACGGCTTATTTAATATCATTTATTACTCATGATTATATCATTAAAGCTGAGGCTTCATTCCTTTACCTAGAATTATCTATAAAAGGAAGAAGTATCATCATTTGTAAGGACACAGAATACTATTGAGAATTTATTGAAATATACATCTATTTGCTTCTTTACCATCGTTCTCAAAAGTATTTTATTTTTGTCTCCTGATTATCAGTAACCCGAATTTCTTTTTAGCTTTGACCAAAGACTCAGATTTTTGGTTAAACACATCGGTTCCGTTACCGGGAATCTGATAATCTTTCCTTTTAAGCTATATCTTATCTATTGTCGTCACCATGTCAAACAACAACGCCGACAACAATAGTAATAACACATTGGGAAACCATGAGAATCAAATACATCAAAATCAAGATAACGTGGTTCCCTCTCCTCTAAATTCACCACGTCAATCTCGTGAAGGCACTCCTGTTACTGAATCCCGTGCTGATCAACAAGAGCAATCTGAACATTTTGAAGGAGTTACAACTGAAGCTTTGCAAAAGCTAATTGATGCACAGGTCGGCAAAGCTCTTCAGGCACTTGTTAGTCGATTGCCTGCTGCGCCACCCACACCAACTCCTAATAATAATACATTGGAGAACCCCCGTTTTGGTCTTGATAATTCTGGAAACGGAGCAACCCCCAGTGAACCACAAGAAGGGGGACCAGGTAATTTAAATAATTCGTATTTGCAAAATTTAGTACTAACCTTGCAGAAACAGCTTAAGGAACAAAATGAGCGTATTGAACAAATCCCTGGAGTTCCACCTGTAATAAAAGGAGTAGACATGGACAAATACTCACAACAACCATGGAAGCCTAGTGCTGCTCCCCTTCCAATTCCGAAAAAGTTCAAAATGCCTGACATCCCGAAATATGATGGTACTATTGACCTACGTGACCACGTAACTGCATTTACAACCGGCGTAAAAGGCAACGACTTGACCAAACAAGAAATTGAATCAGTATTGGTCAAGAAATTTGGAGAAACACTCACCAAGGGTGCATTAACCTGGTATTCTCTTTTATCTGAAAATTCTATTAATTCTTTTG